TCCTCCTCCACGGCCCAGTGTTCACGCCCCGACGGCGACACCGCGCCCGTGCTGGTGCACATGTCCCGCAGGGAGCTGCACTTACGGCGCCAGCCTGTGAGAGCGTTCGCACACGATCCAGAGCTCATGTCGGCGCGCCCCTCACGCGCATCGTGCCCCACGGGGAGCGCCACCGGCGGCCTTAGTGGGAGCGCTCGCGTGGGCTCCGCCCTTTGCGACACGCTCCTCATGCGTATCGCGCCCAACAGGGAGTTCAGTGCGCCTCTGCGTGCTTGCTGCGCACTGCCCCGCGAAGCGCGGCATGAATACAGGGTCGCGCCATGCGCTACACGCAGATGCATAGGGCGGAGCCAGTCGCCAGGCGAACTTGCTGCCAACACGCTGGTGGTGCAGGCCCCTTCCCAGCCTGCGGCGAGCTGCACGAGAACGTAGGAGGCTGCCTGCTCAGGTCTCATCTGGCCGATGGCGAGCACGGCGACCGTGACGCTCGGGTTGAAGTGAGCACCTGGCGAAGCCCACAACCGGGAACATGGCATCGAGCATGTAGGACGAGTGGGATCAAGAGTAGGGCGCTGGGCCGATTACGCAAGCACGGCGACCGTGACACTCGGGTTGAAACGAGCGCCTGGCGAAGCACTCAGCCGCTTGAGATGGCACCAGGCGGGGAGTACGAGCGGGATGGCGAGCAGGGCTTGGGCAGAAAGCCGCAACGAGCTCGAAGACGAGAAAGAAGGGGGAAGAGGATGAAGAGGGGCAGAGAAGGGGGATGAGGGGGGGAGGACAAAGAGGCGAATCCCAACTGGCGAATCCAAATCTGGCGACTACCTGATGCCGAACCCAGCCAGGATGGGGCCAACCCCAGCGTCAAAAATAATCATGGGCAGAAGTCTCAACGCATTAATTCATCTTACGAACCTATGCAGTAATTGATGAGGCCGCCTGGAAGGGCGCGAGAAGGCGATGTCCTAGGCGTTTTCAATATCTTGCTCTTGACGAGTGCTGTAGCAACGTGGACTCCCCAACACTTGACAGCCAAGTGAAAGCTGTCTGAGCTTCGTCACACCTTCAACGGAACCTCCTGCGAACCTCCTCAGAACCTTCTCAGAGCATCCTGAGAGGCTGCTGCAGGCTTCCTATGTGAGAGCTTACTAAGAGCTTCCTGCGCATCATAAGAGCTTCTTGGGCCTCCTGATAGCTTCCAGAGATAGTCCTGAGAGCATTGGAAGAGCCTCCTGAGTCCTGAAGGCCTCATGAGACTCCCGACAGATTCCTAAAAGCTCCTTGGGTATTACATGAGAGAGTCTTCAGAGCTATTTGGGATATGCATGAAAACCTCTTCCTTATACTCGTTCACATCATCATCATCATCATCATCATCATCATCATCATCATCATCATCATCATCAGCAGCAGCAGCAGCAGCAGCATCAGCATCAGCAGCAGCATCAGCAGCAGCAGCATCATAATCATCATCATCACCATCAACATCAGCATCATCATCTTTACCATAATCATCATCACCATCGTCATCATCATCAACATCATCATCGTTAGCATCATCATCCCCATCATCACAACCGTCATCCTCAGCAGCAGCATCCGCATTATGATCACGATCACCATCATCAACACAACCAACATCATCACCAGCAGCACCATCGTCAGAAGAAGCAGCAGCAGCACCATCATCAATAAGCATCGTCATCAGCATCATCACCGTCGTCATCCTAATCAGCATCACCATCACCATCACCATCAGCATCATCGACATCCTCAACGTCACCATCATCATCATCATGATCAACATCATCATCATCATCATCATCATCATCATCATCATCATCATCATCGTCGTCATCAGCATCATCACCATCATCACCATCAGCATCAGCATCATCATCGACACCATTATCATCATCACCTCAGAGAGAGCGTGATCCACCGCCGCTTTACTGTAGAAAATTCCCCCCCCTCTTCCTCCAGAACCCGGGGGTCCCCCCCCCCCCTCCGAAAATCCCCCCCCCTGCTGGACCCCCCCCCTACCCCCCTACCCTTCCCCGGCAAAACCCCTCCCCTCCTCTAACCCTTCCCCCCCCCTCCCCCTCGAAAACCGGGGGGGGTCACTACCGGTTCGAACCCCCCCCCCTCGAAAACCGGAGGGGGGGTCACTACCGGTTCGAACCCTCCCCACCCCCCCCCCACTCACCGCCAGCAAACGACTCCCGGTCCGTACCACCGTCCGCACCACATCCCCCACTGTTGTTCCCAGCGCCACTCTCGTCACCACCACTGTCCCCACTAGTTCCACCACCATCCCTACTGTCCCCACCAGTGCCCCCACCACTGTCGCACTGTCCCCACTGTCCCCACCACTGTTCCCACCACGGCTCCACTCTCCCCACTTTCTCCACGGCCCCAACCACTGCCCGACTATCCCCACTGTCCACACTGTCCCGCTGACTCCTCCGCTGTCCCACTGAGCTCTCCCACTGTTCCCACCACTGTCCCCACTGTCCCCACCACTGTCCCCACTGTACCTCTGTCCCATTGTCCCACCGCCGTCCTCGCCATCGCCTTCACCACTGTCCCCACCACCACTGTACCCTCTACTGTCCCACTGTTTCCACCACATTCCCACTGTCCCACACCACTGTCCCCACCACCACCGTCCCCACCACCGTCCACTGTCCCCACTGTTCCCACAATTGTCCTCACCACTGTCCCCACCACTCCCGTCCCCACCACTGTCCCGCTGTCCCCACCACTGTCCCGCTGTCCCGTCACCACTGTCCCCAGCACCACCGTCCCCACCACTGTCCGCAATCCCCCTCGGTTTCGAGCGGGGGGGGGTTCGAACCGGTAGTGACCCCCCCCGGTTTTCGGGCGGGGGTTCGAACCGGTAGTGACCCCCCCCTTTTCATGATGGACGGGGGGGGTGGAGGGGTTCGAACCGGCAGTGACCCCCCCCGGTTTTCCGGAGGGGGGGGGGAGGGGCTCGAACCGGTAGTGACCCCCCCCCGGTTTTCCGCCAGCAGCGGTAGAACACGCTCTTTCTCACCTCACCATCACCATCATCACCACTCTCATGTTCATGATCATTACCACCACCAACGTCATCATCAGCAGCATCACTATCATCATCAGCACCAACATAAGCGGAATCAGCATCATCAGCAGCAACATCAGCGTCATCGTCATCGTCATCGACATCGTCATCACAATCATCACCATCAGCAATAGAATCGTCGTCATCATCATCATCATCATCATCATCATCATCATCATCATCATCATCATCATCATCATCATCATCATCATCATCATCATCATCATCGTCATCCTCATCATCAGCATCATGATCATCACCATCATCATCATCATCATCATCCTCGTCAACATCCTCGTCATCAGAATTATCAGCATCATCATCATCATCATCATCACCATCATCACCATCATCACAACCGGCCTCATCCTCATTGACACCAGCATCCTCGTCATGATCCACATCGTCGCAATCCTGACTATCAACACCACGGCCGTCATCATCATCATCATCATCATCATCATCATCATCATCATCATCATCATCATCAACGTTGTCATCATCAGCATCATCAGCATCACATGCATCAGCAACATCATCATCATCACCATCATCATCACCACCATCAGAATCAGTCGCATCATCACCTGCATCAGTATCGCCATCATCGTCACCAAGACCACCCTTACCAGCATCACTATCATAATCAGCCTAATCATCATCGTCATCATCAGCGGTGACATCATCATCATCATCATCATCATCATCATCATCATCATCATCATCATCATCATCATCATCATCATCACCCCCATTATCATCATCGCAGCCACCACCACCACCACGATCATCACCAGCATCAACGTCATCATTATCCTGTTAACTGCGAGATGCGGGTGTTGCCCCCACGATGGGTCGAAGCCTACGTCCTCGCCATCGTCCACCTCATAAAACTCATCCTACGCACCCTCATCATGACCATCCAGAACATCATCATCGTCGTCGTCCCCATGATCACCATCAGCAGCATCGCCATCATCATCACCATCATCAGCAGCAGCATCAAGATCCCCATCACCACCATCACCACCATCCTCATCCTCGTCATCATCCGTGTCCTCATCCTCCCCCTCCTCCTCCCCCTCCTCCTCCTCCTCCTCCTCCTCCTCCTCCTCCTCCTCCCCCTCCTCCTCCTCCTCCTCCGCCTCCGCCTCTTCCACCTGTTGGACGTTCGTGATAACAGAGGGTTTGCGCATCGGTCGCGGCCGCGCCCTGCCCACTGCTCTCTCCCTCTCTCTCTATCTTTGCTCTCTCTCTCTCTCTCGCTTTCTCTCTCTCTCTCTCTCTCTCTCTCTCGCTCCTCTCTTGGTTCAAGGCTCCGTGCGGAGCCTGCCTTTTCTCCTCAGGGGGCGGGCGGGCGGGGCCACGGCACGCCCGCCCCGCCCCCCCGTCCCGGAGGACCCGGGGGCCGGCGAGGCACAGCCTCGCGCGGCGGCGTGCAGCTCCCGGCCGCGAGGCACGCCGCCGAGGAGGAGAGGCCCCGAGGGCCGCGGAGACCTCGACCGGGGCCACGTGCACACTCTCGCGTGCGGCATCGCGGCAGCCGCGCCGGCAGCCCGGACGTGGCTCACCGCGTCCCTGGGAGTCGGCACCGACGCGGGCCTCGCGGCCACGGCCCCGCACCGAGGGCCCGAGGAGGGCCGCGCACGAGGCGAAGAGGGCGCCGGCAGCCAGGAGGAGGGCCGGGGCGCGCGGCCCACGCCCACCGACGAAGGGCGGCCCACCAGCCGGCGATGCCGAGGGCGAGGTGGTGCCGCCAGGCCGCCACAGAGCCAGACGCGCAGCTCGCGGTGCTCGATTCGGCTACACGCAGGAGTGACCCTGGGTAAGAGGGACCTTCGGTGCGCGACTTTTTGGGGGCCGCGGGGGGGCCAAACCTTGGCGCGCAAGGAGCTGCTATTGCCTCTTTTTGAGCCATCTGGGGACCCGTCTGCGCCCGCACCAAAGGTCACTCCGGCGAAAGGTCACTCTGACGTCTAAATCGATCGATGAGGCAGCCGCCCCCGCCCGAGGGGGGCCCCCGGCCACGGATCCGCCCCCAGCCGTGGCCGACCCGGGCGGGCGCCCAGGGGCTGCGCAAGGGCACCGACGGGCGCCGACGGGGCCGACCGCCAGGCACGCCTCCAGGACTGCGGCAGCTCGTCCCACGGCTGGGCCCCCGCAGCCACCGCCTCGCAGACACCGCCTCGCAGCGAGACGCGGGAGCTGGCGCCAGAGCCGGAGCCCGAGCCGAGCGGAAGAGGAGGAGGAGGAGGAGGAGGAGGAAGAGGAGGAGGAGGAGGAGGAGGAGGAGGAGGAGGAGGAGGAGGAGGGAGGAGGAGGAGGAAGAGGAGGAGGAGGAGGAGGAGCGAGGAGGAGGAGGAGAAGGAGGAGGAGGAGCCCCAGCCGGGCCCGAGGAGCAGGGCCAGGAGGAGAGGAGCAGCAGTGACCCCCACCACCGCCAGAGGAGCCCTGCCGGGCGGCGGCCGAGGCGCGCCTCTGGGAGAGCGGCAGCGCAGCGCACCCCCCCCCCCCTCGGGCTGGCGAGCAGGAGCAAAAGACGTCCGCCATAACAGCTGGGTCGAAGCGGCCCTCAAGTGGCTTGGCGAGTGTGTCAGACATGCCCTGATGGAGCCCTTGTGCATCAGATGATCGCGTTTATCATTGGCATGGTCGCCGCCATGGGCCGCTCCCTCTTCGGTGAATGCTGGGCTCGTCGTATGCAGTGGCTCTGTCTTTGTGCCCAGGGGTGGCCGCGGCTATGGAATCGGTGGTCGGCTTCCTAGCTTGGTTCCTCCGGACAACCTGGACCTACTGCGCCTACATCGTGATTACGGTACGCAGCTTCGTCAAAGGTAGCAAGCCTGGGCACGACGTGAGGATCGCGTTGGAAGGTGGCCCTGCCGCCGCGTTCGCATGGAGAGGACCAGCAGAGGCCGCGGCGGCGGACGAGCACTACGTGGGGAACGAGGTGCGGGCTCGCCGAGGTGGAGCGGAGAAGGTGATGCCGAAGGACCTCATCATCAAGTCCGGCGGAAGCCCGGCGGCTCCGTGGCGAGACTTGAGCACGTTCCCCAACAAGGGCAGCAGCATCACCAGGCACGGGTGCTTCCACAGGTCCAAGGAGGTCAAGGGCAGCTCCCACCGCCACCTCGAGGCGGACCTTGAGGCCTCTCGGGACGAGGATGGCGTCGGCATGGTGCACCTGTGCGCGGCGATACACTGCGCCCTCTCCGAGAGCGAGAAGAGCATCGCGCACGTGAGCTCCTCGTGCGTGGTCGAGCACAGCGCCCAGAGCAACATGGCGGACCTGGCCAAGCTCACGCCGGCTGGGCGCGCGAGGATCCAGAGCAGGGTGCGCTGCTCATGGGCATGCCGTGGCATCGGCAAGCTCTTCGGGCGCGCGTGCAGCTGCTGCGCCAAGCGGCGCTGGAGGCACCCGCGCCCAGGCAGGGGCCCGGCCAAAGCAGAGGAGATGGACCCGAACTCGGAGACCGAGTCCGAGCCGAGCGTGGACGTCTGCGAGGAGGACCGGATCGCGCTCGTGACCAAGAGCGGGACCCAAGCGCCGAGCCCGGGGGGCTGCAGGGATTCGGCCAGGCAGGAGCCAGTCGTGATGCTGGTGGAGGATACAGCAGTCTTAGACGCACGCGAAGCACCAGAGGTGGACGGCACGCGCACTTTCTGGGCACGCCCGTTGCACGCCAAAGCCCACGAGGCCCATGCGGCGCATAGGAAGTGCGATCGCGCCCACTGCTTTCGCGAGAACACCACGGAGAAGGACGGCCTCCCCCTCTGCGCGGCGCACGCGGCCGACAGGTCGGCGTCGCGGCGCAGCCGCTCGGCGACCCCGCGGCCTGAGGGGAGGAGCTGCCGAAGCGCCAAGGCCCAAGGCAGCAAGCAGGGGGTGGAGGAGCCAGGGGAGGAGCGCCCGCCAGCGGCCACCCGCAGGGCCAGCCCAGTGGCCAAGGCGGCCGCGGACCCAGCCTCCGTCCATTCCCAGCGCATGGCGCGATGTGACGCGTCCGGATCCGTTTGGCAATCAAGAACTCTGCAGGCCGCCCTGCCTGGCGAGAAGAAGAAATCCCCCTCCTGAGCCTCGCTCGAAAGAAAATGGCTAGAGCCATCTCCTCCACCTCCTCCTCCTCCTCCTCCTCCTCCTCCTCCCCCTTCTCCTCGTCCTTCTCCTCCTCCTCCCTCCTCCTCCTCCTCCTCCTCCTCTACTCCTCCTCCTCCTCTACCTCCTCCTCCTCCTCCTCCTCCTCCTCCTCCTCCTCCTCCTCCTCCTCCTCCTCCTCCTCCTCCTCCCCCCTCCTCCTCCTCCTTCCTCCTCCTCCTCCTCCTCCTCCTCCTCCTCCTCCTCCTCCTCCTCCCCTTCTCCTTATAAATAACTTCTCCGTGTCGCACCCCGAGGCCAGTGTTTAGGACGGGCCGGGCGTTTCGCCTGAGACCTCCTCACCTGTTACGATTCTGAAGCCAAGAATGACAACCGTTTCACAGGTGGAGGGCGGGTCGTTTTCAAAATGTGGTTCTCGCCTCAGCGCCGCGCACATTCGTTTCAAGAATTTGCAAGAGCTTCACGGACTGAGGGGGGATCGTTTTCAAAATGTGGCTCTCGCCTGAGCGCCGCGCACATTCGTTTGAAAAAATGAGCAAGAGTTTCACGGATTGAGGGCGGGTCGTTTTCAAAATGTGGCTCTCGCACTAGCGCCGCGCAGCTTCTTTTCAACAACATGCAAGAGATTCACGGATTGAGGGCGGCTTCTTTTCAAAATGTGGTTCTCACCTTAGCGCCGCGCAGCGCCGCGCACCTTTTTAATTCGCAAGAGATTCACGGATTGAGGGCGGTTTCTTTTCAAAATGTGGTTCTCGCTTTAGCGCCGCGCACATTCGATTCAAAAATTGCAAGAGTTTCACGGAGTGAGGGCGGCTCATTTTAAACATGTGGCTCTCGCCTTAGCGCATCGCACATTCGTTTTAAGAAATTGCAAGAGTTTCACGGGGTCCCATGATCAACGTACCAGACATGGTGTGTTGGAAGGATTCAGGATTATGCGGGTACAAGAAATACGTTAATTTCGCGGAGCTGAAGCCCCAAAAAAAGCGTTCTGGCACGATTCCAGATCGTCAGGACGCAGCAGTCAGGTTGATCCGTGGCGTGGAAATCTAGAGAACAATGCATCGGCATGCTTCTCAAGGTCTTCAAACGGTTGTCTTCCAACGAGGCAGTTCCCTCAATGGAAATGAACCGCTGTAGGGGCTTATGAAGAGGGAGCTTGGAGTGAGGGTTAATTCCAACATCGTTGATGACTCTTGGGTTTGCACTGATCCACCTCTTCCTCCTCCTCCTCCTCCTGCTCCTCCTCCTCCTTCTCCTCCTCCTTTCCTTCATCCTCCTCCTCGTCCTCCTCGTCCTCGTCCTCCTCCTCCTTGTCGTCCCCCACCTTTTCCTCCTCTTCCTTTCCCACCTCCTCCTCCTCCTCCTCTTCATCCTCCTCCTCCTGTTCCTCATCCTCCTCCTCCTCCTCTTCATCATCCTCCCCCTCCCCTCCTCCTCCTCCTCCTCCTCTTCCTCCTCTTCCTCATGTTCGTCGTCGTTCGAAAGCACACACACACAAGGACACACACACACACAAGCACACACACACACACACGCACGCACGCACGCACGCACACACACACACACACACACACACACACACACACACACACGCACACACACACACACACATACACAAACAAAAACACAAACACCAGCACAAACAAGCACAAACACACATAGACATATATATATATATATATACACACACACACGCACACACACACACACACTCTCACACGCACTGGGCGAGGTCGACGACGACCTGCAGCGACAGGGGTGGGGTCGGGACGACCCCTGGCGGGCGACCCGCGCGGCGCCAGACACATCGCCCAGCGCGTACACCATGCACGACAAGGACGCGGCCACGGAGAGGGCGGTCGCTGGCCGGCGACGCGCCGTCGCCCTCCTTCCTGCCTCCCTCCCTGCCTCCCTCCCTACCTGCCTCCTCCTCTTCCTCCCTCGCCTCCCCCTCCTCCTCCCCCCCATCGTCCTCCTCCTCCTCCTCCTCCTCCTCCTCCTCCTCCTCCTCCTCCTCCTCCTCCTCCTCCGAATTCTCCTGTTGCCTCCGCAGGCCGCGCCGCGGGCGCAAGCCAGTAACGTCGCAGTGGGCAACGAGGGAGGGCGCGCAAGCGCCTCGGGCGGAAGGAGTTCACGGGGGGGCGCGCGGGCCGAAGGCCAAGGGCAAGGGGGGGCGCGAACCCAGGGAGGAAAGGAAACGAGAAGAGCCAGGAGCGCGAGGGACCGAGCGGAGCAGGGGCGGGAGAGGAGAGCTGAAGGAGCCAAAGAGGGCGGAAGAAGAGGAAGAAGAAAGAAAAATTGAGAAAAGAAAGAAGAGGACGAAAGGAAGGCAAAGCGAGGGAAAGAGGGCGGAGGGAGAGGAACAGCAGGGGAGAGCGGGACCCGAACCGACGCGAAGGCGACAACTGGCCAGAGGCAAGAGCGACATCACGAAAGACACGACAGCAACGACCCCCCACGACGACTACAGTGGCGGAAACGACTGACGCCACGAACGCGACGACGCCGCGCGGACGAGGACGACGCGGGCCGGCGCGGCGGCCCAGAGGCGGCCCCAGGGGGCCGCAGACGCTCCCCACGCAGCACGCAGCCCCTCGCCCTCCACGCTGCGGACTCCCGCCACGCATGCGCCACGCAGGAGACGCTGCGCACTCCCGCGCGACAGCTTCGCGGGGCGGCGTCGAGCTCGTCGTCATGCATGTCCACGTCGTCGTGATCGTCGGCGGCGGGGCACAATCAAAAACCCTAATAAGGACGCGCGGTAAGGACGCAAGACACTTGGAAGCCGAAGTTGG